CTTTCCAAAGTTTCCCAGTTCCAAAGTTTCCCAGTTCCATGCAGGAAGAAATGGCCCCTAAAGCTGAGCTTCCTGTGAAGTAGAGACCTAATTTTCTGCCTTCTTATTTTCAACCTGCACTTCTGGCCCTAGTCTACTGATAAATTTTTCCCTTGGTCTCTAGCACAGTTTTAGCTCTAGGTAAGGGCTTTTAAGATTGCCTTAAGTTGATTGTTCTGAATAACACACAATCCTGCTATTTTACGGGATGTTTTTGTTTTTATCACTCTTTCACCATGAGAATATTGTACCTCTTAATTTTTGCTCAAGTTTCATTTGTCAATGAGCAAAACAGAAGCTTAAACACCTCTGAATCCTCAGTTTTACGACAACTGTATTATGTTTTGATTCTATTTTAACATAATGTTAGTGCTTAAAAAGGCTGGAAGGGCCAAGGTCTTGGGCTCCATCCATAAATATAGGGCTCTGAAGAAACGTGCATGAAAGAAGTATCTTTGAGCCCTTAACTGAGATATCTGTAGTGTGGATTAACCTTTAACCTGACCCCAAACATTAGTCCAGATTTTCTCTGGGGGTTTGGTTGGAAGGCCTCTGTGGTATTCGGTTCCTATTCAAGATAATTTTCAGGAAGAGTATACATTCAGTCCCACTTGAATTTTGTTTTGGAGGTGACTTTTTCAGATGCAGTCAGAAGTCTTGCAGATGTCAGAATTAGATATGGTACTTCCTTAGTGTGACTGAAATTTTCTTTCCTCCAGTCTAATGACAGATTCCGAATTAACTGGTGTCTCAGTCGAATGGCTAGCGTAACAGGTGGGACATGGAGCATTTTTTGCCTTTTTCCCCACCCTCACCTTGCCAAGAAGAAGGGGTATATAATCCTGGACAGCTGTCTGAAAATCTTTGTCTCAAAAGTGTCCTAAAAGCTAGTACTGATAGCTAGAACTACTTTGTATGCTTCTCCCTCTTCTTTTCCTCCCCATCAGACAGTAAAACTGCAGCCTGAGCAGCCAGCTGTTCCTTGCTCAGCCAGTGAAAGGAACACTAGAGGCTGTGAGGTTACTGTGATGGTGAGATTGTGGTAACACGAGGGAAAACTAACAGCTTCTGAGGAGAGATGGTCTGCAAGTGGGATACATAATTACTGAGGTTGAGAAAAAGCTGGTAATATAGGCCAACCCACTTTGGTAGGGAGATGGGCTTTATGAAAACCACTGGTGGAATAACTTGTTAAGGTTTACAACAGCTTTTGTGCTCTGGGAAGAGATGGGGCAATGAACAGGGACTGACTTCAGAAGTGAGCTGAGCAGAGTATTCACTGACTCCTTTGTTCTCCTGGTCTGGATTCTCTCTGAGCTATAGGCATTGAGAGCCATGTGGAGCTTCTCACTGTAGAAGACCTGGTAACGGAACTGTACCAGAAGAAGTACCAAAAGGAGCCATCCAAGACTTGGGTGTGTAGAGAACTGGATGTCTGCTTGTGGGATTTCTGCAGTAATACCAGGTATGCTGGGTTCTTCTGTGAAAACGTGTCAGCCTGACATGTCTTGGTGCCCTATAAACAGCTTGCTGCTGGGCTGGAATGTTTTGTAATCCTGCTAATCAGAAATGCTTCTTGTCACTTCATGAGTATGCTGGGAATTTAAAAATACTTTCCTAAAGAGGTGTAAAGATAAATGACTTTTTAATGCTGAGTCTGAGGTCTAATTTAAAGGAGGGGGTAAAAAATGGGAATGAAATATATTGTGGTATTTAACTGGAAATCACAGAAGTGAGAAGATTCACACTTAGAAGTGTATTTTGATGGGATTTGACTGTTGCAGCATGAGGCACTTGATGGATAGCCACTGTGATGAGGGACAAGGTAGGTTTGTCAGTAGTATAAATCAAGTTCTCAAGCATAAGTATTAAGCTAGATCCTACCTTTTTGCTTCTGAATGTTCTTTGTTATGCACATGGAATCCTATTTACTTTGTAAGGGTATTTTTTTCCCACCTCGTAGTGTCTTGAATAGTACAGGTTTTCCTGCTTTCAGATTCTTCTGTGTGGAGGTGCTTGTACTAAGAGGAACTGCTTCACATTAATGGGAAATTTCAAGTTGTTACCTTTAAGTTCTGTTTGTCTCTTTGGATTCTCTTCTCTCCCTTTCCCTCACGCCAGTGTGAGGCAGGTTGCCTGTTAAGCGTACTTTCTAACTCTGCATAAACCACTTGGAGCTTGGTTCCCTGTGAAATTGTAACAGTACTATATGTTCACTAAGACAGAAAGATAACATCTTTAATACTTGTTCCTGTTCCTTCTGACCAGACCATCTATTCGTGTCGATTAACGGTTTAGATGCTTCTGAAATAAGCCCAAACTGTATTTCATGTAGGTGCAAGTGGCATGAAGAGATTGATACACTCTGCTGTGCTTTGGCATCCTGTAAGAAGATTGCGTGAGTATTGCTAAGGAGTTATCTACACTCTGATGAATTTATATTTTGTTATAGATGCACATTTTTGGCTCTGGCTTTGATTGCCTGGAGCACTGTAGTTCTTGAGTTTTATTTGTTCCCTTCACCCCCATGTCTTTGTTCTATTTGTCACTTTCCTTGTTGTTAGTAAGGCTTAGCAGTATGCTGTAAGTCTTAGCCCTTGGATGGGATGTAATTTCTGTGACAGTAACCTCCATCACTGTACTCATTGTTTCACTGCCTCCACTTACTGCTGGGGGAGTTGAGAGAAGTGTTAATTACATTACAATTCTCTGTTTTTCTTTTGATGTTGAATATACCTATATGTGGTGAGAAACGATCAGTACATTCCAGTATATCTCTACTTTAGAAACTTTTATACTGCCTTATATATGATGTAGATACATGAGGTTCTGTAATCTCTAGTGTGTGGAAAGGGAAAGGAAATAGTTGGGAAATGAAGAAATGCCATTTAAGATTTCAGTCAGTGATAGTAGCACTTTGAGAGAGATGATAATAATAAATAGTCTTTCATTAAAAAAACTCATGTTGTGTCCTGCTATGCCTTGCAGAAAAAGAAGTTGCTTTTCACACTTCTAAGTGGCTGCATTTGATAGTGTGGGGAAGCACTTTTTTCATGTGTAGTTGTAGAAAAGGCTGGTGGCCTTGGAAGGATGCAGGGTGACTATTTAGCTACTGCAGTCATGTCCTTCTGCCCTCTCTCATCTGCTCTGTGCATCTCAGTCTGTAGTTGCTTTTGTGTGTCGCCTGAAGAAATGAAAATGCTGTGCTTCTGTACATGAGCATTACAGCCTTCTGAGCCAAACTTTTCTTGTTTTTTTTTTTTTCCTCGGTCAAGTTACTGCATCAGTAAATCTTTAGCTAGTTTGTATGGAGTCTCACTGACAGCAGCTCACCTACCTCCTCAAGACTCTGACTATGGTGAAAGCAAGAATACCAAGGTGGTGATACTGGATGCTGGGTGTTTTCAGGTCAGATTCTTTAAACTGGTGTCCTGATTTATTTCTAGTAAACTTGAGTGTTCAAACTTGCCAATTTCAGGTGAGCTGTTTTCTCTTTGGATGCTGTCTTCTGTGACAGGTTGACTGATGAAAGGAAAATCATTCTGAGCTGGGTCGTTTCTTATGGATTTTGTTTTTTACCATAATTTGTAGGTTTCATGGGTAGTTGTGCATACTGCATTTTAGAAGACGTATTATTCTGAATATTTATTTCTCCATACAGAAAACGAGGGCTGAGCATTCTGATGGTGACAGACATTCCACTTCTCCAAGTCAGGATCAAGAGTTTGTCCTTGCTAACTGTGAGTTTCAAACTTCCGTATTTGTAAGGGGAAAGAGGTATTTAAAGTTAATTTGACTGCTGCTTTTTCAAATTTCTGGGCTTAAATGTTGCCTGTCAACAGCATAAAGCTTAAACAGCTCTACATGAGCCGTGCTTGTTCCTGCATATGGATTTCACTGAATTTCTGAAAATGTAAACAGGAAGAGCTAATATTTTTTTTACTGGACACAATCTTATGATCAAAAAGGTCTCTCAGAATTTAGCTTTTCTTATACATGTTGCTCTCTGATTTATACACCCTTATTTTTCTGCTACATGAAGTTTGTTCTATGCTTAGGTGCTTTAAGGCAGGGCTATCTTTAAAGTACTCGCCTTGCTCTTGAGTCATATTTTAAAAAGAAGGCATGTGAGCTCAGTTCACCTGGGCAGTTCATGGCTAATCTTCAGAGGAATAGAATCAAGTTTGCAAGACAAATAATTTAAAGCATTCTGCATTTGCAGCTTATTTTCTTGCATATGAAATACATACTGAATTAAACTTTGAAATTGTTCCAGTTCTAAATCATGAGATCTTATGGTCTTTGTGTTTACAGAGGATACAAGCCCCGGCCTCTGACTTTTTGTATTATAGCTGTTGAATGGGTTCAGATCCACAGGCAGATGAAGAACAATTCCATTAATTTATGCAAGCTTTAAGGTCTGATCTGATTTACAAACTACTTTAATTTAACAGGTGATTCTCCATGTGGTGTCAAGACTTCCCTTTATGGCACGAGTACAGCGAGGGGAAGAGGAGTTACACGATTGTTGAGTTGCGCATCTGATCTACCCAGGTCTTCCAGTAATTGAACATCTTTTTTACATCCACGACAGCTGTAAATTCTAATGTTCCTTGCTTCTCTGTGGTAACTAGCAGCTTCTTCAGACTGCAGGTTTTCATCTCACGTGCAGCCCTTGACAGTTCAAGTTCTTGTTAGAATGATTGAACTATTGACTGGATTTAAAGACGACAAAAATCTTGTCTATTATTTACAGGAAGACTTGTTTGGAAGGGACCTACCAGTTACATCCCCTCTTTAAACATACAGGCCATCCGAGTTCTAATTCAAAACAGTTGGAATGCAAATTCAAGATGAATTAGTATTATTGGACTAGAAGAATTCTGTAGTGCCAAGTGTGACTTTAAACAAGTGCTTTATTTCATTTTTCATAACCCACTTCCCCTTTTCTGCATGTGGAAGATGGAGTTTCAGTGTATAATGGTCTCTTTCCAAAAAGTGGAGGTGAGCATTGAAAGTATAAAGGGCTGCACTAGGGGAATTAAAGATGACGGTCTCAAAGGTTTTCTGTAACCTATTGCCAGTTCTAGCCATGAAGAATTTGAGCAGTTTTTCAAGATAAAAAAGCAGACTTTTTATGCATGTCTTGGAAGAAATGTGGTGGCAAATTTATCCGTTACTGTTCTTTTAGAGGCAAAGGCGATATACATCAAGAACAAGTACAACTTCAGTATTTTTTTCCTTTTGCATCAGTTTTCTGTTTAAATAAAAATGTAAGTCCTTCAAACTTTCAGACTGAATAGGAGTGTAGATGTTAGGATTAGCAGATTCAAACTGATATGTTAATCTGCAGATTTAATTTGACAAGTTTAGTCAGGCTGGGGTAGATACCAGTTACTATTATTTGAGGGCTCGTGAAAGCTAGGAGACTGACTTATCACTAGAAAGTTAGATACTCCATTTTATGGAGGTACAAGGCTTGGACTAGTCCCCAAAAAGGTGTCTCTTATCTGAGCCTCATCTTTAGCCTGCGTGTCTTTAAGCAACTGACTTTCAAGTAAGACCACTTTTCTTTTTTTTCCCCGTATATTCTGTTCCAACCGAGGTCCAGTTGTGAAATGGTATTTCCGTAGCAACTAACTGAGAAGATACTCATTTGTTGTAGAAACTGGAACTCAAAATTAGGTAGTTTGTTCTTTTGGATAACAGGAGGGGAAAAAAAAAGGTCAACACCTTTGTTCATAAACTTCAGCCTGCTGTTCAGTGTGTCAGAAAAGGCCCATTTCTGATTTAGCTGGAAACTTGTTACAGTTGCTCCAAGGCCAGTTCAGGTCCTTCTTCTGGTGCTGCAGGATCACAGAACCATTTTGATGCCTATTGCCTGACAGTTTGCCTGTATCGCTGAATTTGCATGTATTGTTCTATTTCCTTCCTTTGAGGCTGCTGTGCTAAAGACTGAGATTTACCAATGAAGAGTCTGGGAAGCTTCTCTGCATTGTAATAGGATTGTTTAAGTTTCTTAACTGACAGCCATTGTTGCATTGACATTTCAAAATATGCAGAACTATCATCTTTGAATTGCTTTCAGATGTCAGTGTTGCAATTAAATTTTTGTTTCTTGTGGCGAAAATTCTTTGTTATTAAAATGTTTATTCAGTATCAGTTCAAGTACACAAACCTAAGAGCATTTGTTACTATGATTAACGTATTGTATATCTTCAAGACTGAGATAAAGAATCTGAGCAGAAATGGAGAAATACAGTGTTAAGGTTCTATGGCACATCTGTACCTTATCACCTAAAACTGAAATTATTACATAAGCTGCAGGAGATCTAGTTATATGCTGTAGGCAGGGGCTGCTAACTTGGGCAGTAACAGTCTTACCATAATACCAGCAACCTGTCGTGGGTTTTGTAGTGAGAACTGTAAGATCTATGTAATGAGAATGCTAACTTGATGTAGCCCATTTAATACTATTACTCTACATATATGAAGGGGGATCCCTAATACCTGTTGGAGGATGATAGAAAATCCTTTAATTTTGGACCTCTGCTTTCGTGGCTGTTTTGCAATATGAAACTCTGATTTCTTGAAAAAGAAATTCTGCTTAATAAGCACAATACAGTAATGCTATTCTCCTTTAATGAAAAAGTAAAGGTGAGGGAAAGATGGTGGCTTACAACCTTAGTGCACTTCTTAAGTGCAAGTAATTTTAGTGGTAAGGCACAGTGTGTCAACATCAGAACAAAATTTTCCCCACTAGCATGACAGAATTCCCAAGGGAAATAAAACCAAGTAAGGGCAGAATGGCTCTTGAGCAGAGTTTGAGTGATGCAGTGTGAGAGCTTTAAGCATGTGCTTTCGACATTGTAAAAGTTGAAAGTAGCTCAGTGTCCCGATACGATGGGGGGAGGTTTCGATATGATCCCAAGAGGCAAGATTAAGACAGAAATTAGGTCAAATGCTGTATACCCAATATAGTTTTTATTACAAAATGAGAAAAATGTTAGAAAAGAGTAGCGATAGGACAGAGTGAAAATGAAAGGCAGAAATGAAGCAGGCGGTCGGTAGAGATTCGCCAGAGCAGTTCCCACCATGGGCCCGCAGCGCGCCGTCGGGCTGGAGCCGTCACATCACAGGTACCACGCGAGTGTCGCCTGCTCGAGGTGCCCTGTGTGACCCCAGGCCGAGGGGCTGCCGGGCCTGGGCACGGGGCCTGTCCTGTGCAGACACCCACGCTGCACCTCCCCGGCTGGGGGAGGGGTGGGGGGCAGGCCAGCAGTGCGCTCGGGGGCTCCTCTGGAACAGCCCGTGACTCACACACACGTGCTCGGCTCCTCTCAGCATGGTGCATGCCCAGACATGTTCTGCCCAGCTCACACAGCTCTTCCACATGTGCAGTACTCCATCCAAGGCTATCTTTGAGACAAACGTTCATGGCTCAGTCCTTCACACTCAGTACTCTGCATGTGGGTGTATAGGTACCATACAAATTGAACTGTCTGAAGAGATGTTTCTGCAAAGGAGACGTCTAACTGGTTCTGTCAGGCCTGATTTTCTGTCCTGTTCGTGTAGCTTACTCATTCCTGTGACTATAACAGGTAAAAGTCATCCTAACTTTGCATATACACTAGAAAATTATTTTTGGTCTTGTTATATGAATAGTAGACAAATTGTTGAATTGTAAATTACCACTCTGCTATAAAGGTTTTGGCTAGGAGAGCTGTTGTCTGAGGGTCATGAAAGCACCACAGAATGTGGTGACGACTTTGCTGATCTAGTCTATGACATCAGTATATTAAACCTGTAACAACATTCTTTAACATAGTGCTCAGAGTATATAACTAGTATTAGAAAATACGTTAATTTAGAATAAACAGCAGTTACTGCTTCTGTGTAGTAGAAACTAAATTTGACTGTTACATTTCTGGGCTGTCTACTGTCCCTCCAATAAACTGTAGAAACTAGGTATGCAGAAGAACTTCCTATTTGACCACTGTCTCTGCCCCAGCTAAGTATATCTATTCTTTATAGAACTTTGTATTCTGATGTAGCATAAATGTTTTTTTAAATATATACATATATGCTGTAGATACAGTAATACCTGGTTTTGATGTCTTTGATTTGGAATTTGGTTTGGAAGGCTGATCTTGCCAGTAAAGATCAAGGCAAACAAGGTGTTCAGTCCTTCAACCTTCTCCTTGTCCTTTATGACAGTCTTCGCCATTTCTGTTCAGATGTACCCACAAAGTCCTTGTTGCCCTTCACGTGCTTCACCAGATTTAGCTTTGGGTAGGCTTTGGCTTTCCTAACCCCATACCTGCACGCTTACACAGCATATCTGTATTTCTCCCAGATGACTTGTCCCTGCTGCTACCTCCTGTATGTTACCTTTTTATTTCTGAGTTTTGTCAGGAGCTCTTTGGTCCACCTCTGCTTGTTTTCCTGTTTATCTTGGAAGAGGTGTTACTTGAAAAATGAAAATGCTCACCTGAACCTCTCTTCAGAACCATATGCCACAGGATTCCTCCAAGCAGATCTCTGAACAAAGCAAAAGACTGCTTTCCTGAGGTCTGAGATTGTGGTCATGCTTTTTGCTTTTTTTCCTTCCTCTTAGGATCCCAAACTCCACTATCTCATGGTTACCGAGGTGAAGTGTGGCCCCCACCCCCACCAGCCTTCACATCCCTGACCTGTTCCAGCAGAGAATGCCTCTCCTCCTTGGTACCTCAACTGCTGTATCAGGAGTGTCGGGCTTCTTCCAGCTGTCTGAAGAAGGCCTTGGGTACTTCCTCCTAATAAGGCTGTCTACAGCAGACAATCAGCCAGAATGTCACCCATGTTGGTCTGCCCTCTTTGTCTAACCTGAGAGCTCCAGGTGGGATGTGCATCCCAGCTGCTGTCTTGCCTGCAGAGCAACTGTCCCTTCTCACTTCCCAGGTGTGAGGAAAATAAGCTGGGCAGTAAGTGATGTGTGGAAATGGCAGCCTGGTACTGTCTGCTTCTGTGTCTGAAGTAAGGTCAGTCCTCATTGCATCTCTAGCAATATGTCAGCAATCAAAACCCTGAAAGGCAGAAGAAAGGCAGTTACTTGGTGGGGGTTTTCTGGGTGCAGCATGTTTTCTGGGTGTTGGATTTTGCTCTTTGCATGTCAAGCTGGAAGACGCAGTGCTTCCTGTGGTCCTTGGTCCAGTGGCACAGATTATGATTCATTCCACCTGGTGTGTTCTTTGCCAGCTACCTAGAGTAAGGTCCATGCTGAGTCATACCCAGATAGAAAACCTGCTTCCATTTCAGGGACTGACTATTGAGCCATCACAGGCAGATGGTGTTATGCTGAAGGTCAGTCCTCCAACTAAAAATCTGTGTTGTGTGAATGACAACTTGTGTTCAAGGAAGACCTGTCTGGATTTCCTTGCAAAATAGCTGTTGTTTTCTGTTCCAAATAATTTTTGGGGAAAGTTTTTGAGATCTTGCTAGGGGAAAAGATTAGCACTTTTTTTTTTTTTTTTAAAAAAAAGTGACTCAAATATATGTGTGGAACTGAATGTTTGATTTGTGGTTGACAGC